TCAGAAAATTCAATTTTTTGACCATCAATTATTAACCGATGGAGTTAATTCCTAAGTTTTATTGAAGTAAAAGAAATGCTTCTTGATAAGAAGGTTAGCAATCAGTATTTTGCAGGAGTTGTAGGGTCTTACAAATGTTATAAATATTTGTTTCTATGGTTTTTGGTAATGTTTTAATAAGTTTCGGAAGAAAAGCCTCATACGCGTTGCTTACGCAGGTTTTCTCCCTATGTAGATAATTTGCTTATATTAGAGGAGCACAATTCACTGATTTAGTAGCATCACTGGAGGAAACGCAGGAGGATGGGGAGGAAATGGGGGAGACAGGTAAGTTCATTTACTTGCATTTATTCAATCAATAGTCATCAGCCAGGCTGAAGAAATTGCGAATGATAAAAAAGATACTGGCTATAAGAACTCATTTAGTAGCAACACTGGAGGAAATTCAGGAGGGTGGGGAGGAAATGGGGGAGACAAGTAAGTCCATTTACTTTACATATCGACCAATAGTCGTCAGGCCAGCCTGAAAACATTGCTAAAATGATAAGAAAAGATACTTGCTATAAGAACCCATTTAGTAGCAACACTGGAGGAAATTCAGGAGGGTGGGGAGGAAATGGCGGAACGAGGTACGTTCATTTCAAATCGCGTATAGTACAGGGTGTCGTCCTCTGTTTGACAACTCTTTCAATTCAAAACATTTTGTGGTTCCAAGATTCATGTTGAAGAGCTAACTTAAGTTTTCACCTTTAAGTGGATTTTAACAAAGCAGTAGAATCAAAAATTTTAGGTATTTTGAGCTGCCAATAAGTAATAAACTTAGTCGTAACGCAAGAGCTTAAGCGATTGAATTTCTCATATTTGGGTGGCGTATCAAAGAACAGCTAAGCTTGCATAATGTTAGCGCTGACGAAAACAACGTTGAACCATAATCCTACCGTAGTGGAAAGATGCAAGGTTCGTTTTTCAGCACATGAGGTTCACACTGGCACCTTGAATTGCAATTTTAATAAGATTTTGAAATGAAAGAGTTCGACTATGAAACAGAGGGCATAAATGTTCTGGGGTACTCTGTATATTTCTCGATCTCGTATAGGAAATCCTAAATTTAGTCAGGATGGTTATAATGATAATAACAATAATTACAATGGATGGGGCAACAACAACGATGAAATCACGTAAGTTGACAATTGGCATGGAGTGTGCGGATTGCCGTAATTGTATGCGCGTTTGGTTTTATTTACATTTCAAAACCTTTTTTCTTTTGTTTGTTATAGAGATCTAACCTTTTAGAAGGTTTCCATCCCATAATTTATTGTACTATATAGATTATTTGTTGAAATGGTGGATAGAAAACTACACCTCTGAATGTTTTGGAGTGCTATAATGCTAACTGTTGATACAGTCATCGTGTCTACTTGTTTCCAAAATAATTTATGTGGAGGACGGTAGTCCT